GCATAAAGATAAACAGATGACATATCTCCTAGACTATTGTAAAACCTTATGATGGCCTTAAAATTATTTTTGAGTTATTAGTTCTGATTGATGGTGTGAGCAAACAGTAGTGTGTACCTGTGATATATCTTAACATATTCAATTGTATTGATGGAACTCAAGTGGATATTTTAACAATGGGTTTGAAACAATACAAAACATCCACTGCCCACGTTTGGTTCAAACTTCTATTTTCTTTTCCACAAACAGCTCTTTCTCCAAACCAATAAGAGGAGTAATCTCTCCCTGAAGAGGCTGCTTTCAATCTTTCTTTCATCTGTAATTGATCTACTTTCCACCTACAGTTTCCCCTAGGAAGAGTTTGACTATGCACAAACCTCTGTCTAGAGTTAGAACTGGGGGAACAGGTGCTCTGCTTTTGACCCAGGCACCTGGGTTCTCTGATCCTCTGACTTGTTGCTGATGAATGATCAGAAAGATGGGAATGGAGATATTTCCTGGATTAAAGAGAAGGGATGCACCATCGGAACAATGCATCACAGAGTGGGGCTCCTGTCATGGCTGCTTTTGTTAATCATTTTGTTATCACACGGAGATACTGGTAAATAAATGAAATGCATCACCCACTAGTGGGTAGTGATGGCTGGACCTGCTGAGCGGCAGTCTTTTTAGACGTTCCTATTGCAGAGCTGTGGGAAACGGTTGAGTGGCAGCAGGAAGAAATTATAAATGGCAGAGTCAACAAGGAACAAGCAGAGCTCTGGTTCTAAACCTAACAGATGCTTTGAAAGCACAAGTGTTTATTTGTAGGGAGGTCTGCAAAGCCTTTGGAGGGTAGCTTAAGGCATGTTTTCAAATCTGTGAGATGCAGCCGAAGTGGAGTAGAATTGATTCGGTGAATTTTAACACACTTCAAAATTGAAATAGATTATAAAATAATACAGAACATGTAGCAAATGTTGGTTAAGAAACTTTTGGGGCTGTGCCTTTGTGTGGATGCACACTTTGTGTGCATTTCTTAAAATAAACTCTAGTTTATGAAAAGCTTGAAAACTATGGGTTTTTAAGCAGTTTCTGGAAGGGGAGAAAAGGCCCATTTTAGCAAGCATCTTAGGATTTTAACCTTCCTCTCTTTTTGAAAGCATCTGGGACCCTTGTTTCCAGGACATTGGGAATCCTTTCAATCAATAAGTAACATTATATTGCAAAATTTTGAAAAATTGTTTTTAAATTGTCAAGTGAAAGTGTACATTTTTGTATATGTTTATGGTAAATAATATGATGTTTTAGTATATAAGTGTATTGTAGAAAAGCTAAATCAAGCTACTTATTATATGTACTCCATCACATATCTCTTTTGTTATTGAGACTAAAATCCACTCCCTTGATGACTTTCAAATATACAATATATTGCTGTAGCTCTAGTTGCCATGGAAACTGTAGTTCTCTCAAACTTACAATTGCTAACTACAATTGTGTGCCCTTTGACTTCATCCGTCCAGTTTCTCAACCCTTCAGTCCCTGGTAATTTAGCACCATTTCCCCCCACTCTCTGTTCTGTGTGTTTAAATTTTATACTTTATGTGTAAGTGGATACATCCAATGTTTGTATTTGTCTGGCTTATTTTACTTAATGTAATGACAGAGTTCCATTTTTAAAAAAGAATGTACATTATCCCATTATATAGATTTCATTTTATTTATATTTATTATATTTTATTATATATATTACATTTTGTTTGGCCACTTGTTTAATGTGTGCAAGAAGAGGATGTGTGTGAGTAGTCCTCAGTGAATGTGCTACAGAGAAAGCAGAGCTGAGGCGATCCCTAAGTGTTAGATAGGCAAACGGATACAGGAAAAGTATTCTGAGTAAAGAGTTAACATCACCAATGAGCATATTTCAGAACTGATTAAGAAAGTGACCTAAGCCCGACAGTGTAGACTACAGGAGTAAGAAATAATATATTTATATTAAAAGGAGGGGTGCTTTTAAGTGTGGGGATGGATTTGAAATCTGATCTGGATGAAGAGGGATGGGTTTCAAGAAGACAAATTGACATTGGTTTGAATGTGAGACTGAAAAACAGGATGAATTAAGGCAGGATATAGCTCTGCAGCCAAACGGCCCACCATGACTCTGGTCATTAAGTGTATATCTTATGGATTAGAGAGGGTAAGTTAACCTGGGCTAAGAGAAGAAAGAAAATCACTTTTGATGATTATAATCTACGCCATCTAGAAATGAAACACTGTGCACTTAAAGATGAATTATGCTTTCTGACTCCTCTTTGCAGAAATCAGCTAATCTTCCTCATCATGCTAGCTAGGTTCTCCAGAGGGATACTGTTAACTGTTCTCATAACGAAGGCTTAACTCAAATGTCAGTGTTGTTTTTTTTTTAAACATGAACCAAAGGGAAAGGAGTATCTATTATCCTCCTGTGTTTTCTAAACTTACGTGTAGTTAAATGTGTAACCGTATAGGATGATGAGTTTGGACAAATGTATAAACGTGCATCTCACCTCATGATAGTGAGCACTTACATCTCCCAGGTAGTTTTGCTTCTCTCTTTCCTGTCATCCCCTCATGCCCTTCAGAAATCATTGTCCTGGATGATGAGCACAATCATCACCTGAAGCATTCATCACCACCATCATGAGGGGGAAACCGTTGTGTGGCTCCCTACCACCACTGCAGCTTTGTCTGTATTTAGATTTCACATGGATGACTTTCTTCTGCCCCATAATCTTTTTTAGGTTAACCCCCATTGTGACATGTATCAGAAGTTTGTTCCATTTTTGAGTAAAGTGGTGTTCCTGGTAGGAATTTGACACCATTTACAAATCCATTCTCTTGATTTACGTTGTTTCCATTTTTGTTTTCCATTGTTTGACTACAATGAGTGAATCTGATGTGAAAATTTTTATGGCCTTTTTTGGTTCATGTATGTTTTTATTTCACTTCAGTAAACAAGTAGGGTGGACCTCCTGGGTCACAGATGAATATTTAACTTTACAAGAAGCTGTGCTGCAAAGCGATCATAACATATTGTGTTTTCTTAACATTCTATGTTAATATCTAGGTCCAGGGGCCCCATATTCTCACCAGTGAATTTAGCATTAGCATTGTAGCTGCTCTGGTGGGCTATCTCTATGCTCTTAATTTGTACTTTTCTCATGTCTTGGGAGTGGGAACATGTGCTATTGGCTATGGCACACCTTGAGATGTCTGTTCAAATAATCTCCCCAGCTTTCTTAGTTGGGTTGCTTGACCTTCTGTGGGAATTCCCCATATATTCTGGATTGGACTTTAGGTATCTGTTTTATGAATATTTTCTCCCAGGCGGTCGGTTTCCATTCTATTATCTCAACAGTGTCCTTCGATGAGGAGCTGATTTTCATCTTGATCGCGCCCAGTTTATCTACACTTTCTTTTGTGGTGATTGCTGTGAGTTTTGCATGATCAACTTTTGTCTTCCTCAAGACTGCTGAATTCCCACCTGTGTTTTCTTCTGGAAGTTTTGTAACTTTCACTTTTTTTTTTTTTTTTTTTATGAGATCTATGACCTTTGACTCCTTAGCTTTATGTGACTTTCTGTTCAAGGTCCACCACCTCATCAACTGTCCCTACTAGGAATCTTCTCAGGGTGGACAGTCAAGAAAGCACCTCTGTTTTCTAAAGGATTTGTCTTTTTCACTATTGCCTTCAAAAGACATTTCTCATATATCTTCCTGTGCTTGATTTAGTATCTATTCTGTTAGGTCGTTTTGATTGCTACTTATTTATGTTCTTAATAAGTAAACTTGATAAGAAGAACATAGAGTATGTTCTTTTAACCTTTACTTCATTCCAATATCTGATTCCGAGCCCCATCTTTCACATAGCAAATATCATTCAGTAAATGTTGAATTGCATTGTTGTTTTTAGGAGAACCGATTCTGAGTCAGGATTTCAAACCTGCTACCCATAATTTAATTTCTATTTTTTAGATTCTACCCAAAGATGAGCCCAAAGGAGATTATTTTATAGTAGGTTTAAAGTAGAATATTCCTTTTGCTTCTTTTAAGATATTTATTTAAAATAGTTTTAATTTATGTTAGTATTATTTGTTTTATATATATATATATACATATATATATATAATTCGTGTTAGTATTATTATTCTTTTTCATTTTATTATCATGAGACCATTAGCATTGCTAAAGTTGCAGCCTGAAACTGTTGGATTTTTCAAATATACTATTTTGAATTAATTGTATGCCTAAAATAAACCTATTTTTCTGTGTAAAATAGAGCAGCAATGTCTTTTTTATAGAATACATGTATTTTTTAGGTGCTGTGTCACATGAAGATGTGATAGAGTTGAATGATCTCATTTTCAAAGAAGACTCTTTAATGCTATTTTAGATTAGATTTTTCAAGATCTAGTAATATAATGAACAAAGAATCTGTCCCATCAAGTCATATTTGCATTAATAGTGTTCTTTGGAGGGATGTAGCCATCTTGCCTGTGTTACAACATCATTATTCTGAATTTGTGGAAAAGTGACTCCAGCTCACCTTAATAAATTAGCGCATGTTTAGTCACTATTGCTACTTACTATTAAGCATATTCTTCTTTCATAAGATCCTTGAGTGCAGCACTCTATGCTGCAAAGTGATCATAACATATTGTGTTTTCTTAACATTCTATGTTAATATCTAGGGCCAGGGGCCCCATATTCTCACCAGTGAATTTAGCATTAGCATTGTAATTTTAGTCAATTACAAAGAGGTGCCATGCATCGTTTTCAGTGGGAATTTTGGTTTGTTATATGAAGCTTGTAGTTATTGCAGATGTCATCAGTCATCATGCTTAGTTGATTATGGCACAAGTTGTATTATTTGTCTTACAGCATACAGTCATTGCATTTGTCCATCTTTTAAAATTGCCTTTTGATCACTTGAAAGACAAAAATTGTTCAATAAAGCTAAGTGATTCTCTCTTTCTTCCTCAGAATCAAGTTTCTTACTGGGAAATGCCCAAATTGTGGACTGGCCTGTAGTTTACAGTAATGACGGTTTTTGTAAACTCTCTGGGTATCATCGAGCTGACGTCATGCAGAAAAGCAGCACTTGCAGGTAGGTGGATTGAATAACTTTGGAATCTTTTCCAAATATGAATAAAATTCTGAGATTGTTTACCTATACTCATGACTGGATGAAAATTACGTTAGAAAAGTAAAAAAAAAAGACTTAATTGTGAACAACAAATATTTATTTTAAGAGCTGTTTCTGATAGTTTTTGCAAAGTAAGAATTTTGCTCATGTGTGAATTAATTCACTTGTTAAAATTTGTTTGGTCACCTATAATGAGCTAGGGGGTAGCATAGGTACTGGATGATCACAGGAATAGTCATTACCAGGGAGCCATCAGTGATATCAACACCTCAGGAGCAACTAAAATCATCCCTAACAAAATAGAAAATATGACCCAGCCAAACGGAACATGGCTCACAAGAATGTAAAGGCATGAGAGTGAAGCTTTTACACCGAGCCAATCCTGTGCCTCTATAGTGTTGATAGAGTCACCCTAGCTGTTTGGTTTGTTTTATATAAAACAGAATCCGACATTTGTATTACTTATGACAACTTTAAAAATAGGTCATGTCTGCAAGTTGAAAGAAAATTATGATAAAAGGGGATCAGACAATAAGCAAAGAAACAAACCATCCTATATATAAGGAACTAATTTAGAATCTAAAACTTTGCCACCATATTTCAGTAAGGACAGATGGGACATTCCCCCCATAACACACACAGTGGTTTAGTTTTTCTTTAAATTTCTAGCTTAACTAAGTGTTGGAGTTAAATTATTTTGGAACTGAAAAGGATCTGGACTTTTCTTTTTAGTTCAAGTTCTGAGAAAATATACGTGGTGCTGTGTTAAGGGACTTGATCACAGTTGGTTTTTGTTCCCTACCCATTTATGCTGAGATACTCTGTGTGTGTGTGTGTGTGTGTGTGTGTGTGTGTGTGTGTGTGTACAAATGGTTTATATGAATGTGAATTATCTGCATCTTCATAGAGTCTAGATCTGAAACGACACACAGAAAAACTTAAATAATTTTTGCAAAGCAGATTCTAACACCTCTTAAATATATTGAACCAGAGTTAGCCAAATCGGGTGTTCAGGGCCAGTAGTTGGCATGTACAATCAGAAGATTAGATAATTTTGATGTTTATCAAGGCTTGAGAAACAATCTGTTCGCACTTCCTTTTCCTCCCCCTCTCCATCACCAGACACTCTCTTTTTTTTTCTCTATTGAGGTTATTCCTACATTTTTTGTCTGCATTCCAAAGAATGAAGCAAAAGAATAAATGAGAATAATGAAAACCTTGGCCTGCGTTGGACCACACCTTTGGTAGTTCTGGTCTTCTGAACATGGGATAGAAACTTAATCTTTGTGCTAGAGAAACCACACAATACTAAGGGTGTGTTCAGTGTTGTGGGAGGTGACACACAAGGTGTTGTGTGTCATTGTTTCCCTGTGTTTCCAGGAGAGTATAAGTTAGGAACAGGGAAAGCTTTCTGGTCAACCTTACCCTGTGGAACAAGTGCTATAAAGAGCCCAATAGAACACACGTGCACCCTATCTCTTCTTGGATGATTGGGATCTCAGTTTTGTGTCAGGTGCCATTTTCCACTTAACAAGATAGATGATTCTCCAAGTAAGATGTGCTTGTCTTTTCTTTGACTCCAGATAGTTCATTATATGCATCTTTGTGTTTGCAACATCAGGTTGGTCTTAAATTAACTCTCCATATTTATGTGTGTGTGTATGTATATATGTGTAAAGTGTGTATGTGTGTGTATGAAAGTGTGTTTGTGTGTGTGTGTGTGTGTGTGTGTGTGTGTGTGCATGCGTGTATGAAATGTACAAGTGTGTGTAGATGTGAGTGGCTATGCGTATGCATGTGGAGGCCAGGGGAGAACATCCTGCATCTTTCTCTATTGCTCTTCACTTTAAGTATTTGTTTGTTTGTTTATTTGTTTGTTTGTGTGACAAGGTCTTTCACTGAACTAACTGAACTAGGAGCTTACTCTTTAAGTTAGACTACCTGGCCAGTGAGTTCCTGAGATCTACTTGTCTCTGTCCTCCAAACCTGGGGTTACAGAAGTGGGCAACTGTGCCCAGCATTTACATGGGAGTTGGGGATTTGAACTGAGGTCCTCAGTGCTCTTACCCATTAAACCATCTTACCAGCTCTCATTGGGGGTTTTATTCCTAGTGCTTTAGTTGTTCTTGCGAAGTATGACTATTGCTTTTTGGGTCTCTCTCCCACACCCCTCCTCTCTCTCTCCCTTCAGTTTTTCAAGACAGGGTTTCTCTGTGTAGCCTTGGCTGTGCTGGAACTCACTCTGTAGACCAGGCTGGCCTTGAACTCAGAGATTCACCTGCCTCTGCCTCTCGAGTGCTGGCATTGAAGGTTTGTGCCACCATTGCTTGATGCTATTTGGATATCTCTTAAAGTTCACCTTCCTTCTTGTGTCCTGTGTGTTTGTCCTGTCTCATAATGTTTTATTTGGTAAATGTAGGGTTTTTTCCTTCCTACAGGCAGATACACAAAATATGCTTGTGCATCATACTAATATTTTTTGTTTGTTTTAAAAGAGTTACTTTTTCTGTCATGTCACCAGTACCAGAAGTACCTTGAAAACAGGTACTTATCATGCTTACTTTATAATTTTACTATGTTTTACATCATCTATCTATCTATCCATCTATCTATCCATCCATCTATCTATCTATCTATCTATCTATCTATCTATCTATCTATCTATCTATCTTCTATATCTGTTCTGTATATGTGACATGTGTCATGGTGTGAGTATGGAGGTCAGAGGACACCTTGTGGAAGCTGTCTTTCTCCCTCCGCTATGTGAGCCCCAGGAATTGAACTCAGATGGTCAGGCTTAGCACCATGTGACCTTACCTACTGAACTGTCTCACCAGTTCATGCTCACCTTTGAACCCACTGTTTTCAGAACCTAAGAGTGCTTTGTTACCTCTCTTTATTAAATTATATTGTTTTCTTTTTGCAGTAAACTGTAACCTAGGTCTCCCATGCTTCCCCAAAGGATGATTTATTTATGGCATTTCAGCTCGTGTTAAAGCAGTCTAGGAAATTTTGGATTGGTTGGACTTTCTCACTGTGAAACAAAGTGAGCATGTCCTCCCTCATGTCTCCTCCACCTCTCGGAGACATGCTTTCAAAATGGTCACGTTCTGAATAAAAGTGGCTGATGAATGAGCAGACAGTACCCCAATCCTGACAGCTTTGCTTGGAAGCCGGATTTGTGTAAATGCATCTCCATTTTAAACTTTCTCATTCTTCCTTAAAAAAATAAATTTTACCCATTTTGTGTTGACTGCACCATTATTTAGGAGCGTGAAGACCTAGAAATAATAAAAAACATCTAGTTGTAGGAAATTGGTTTAAAAATATTATGGCAAAGCCCTAACTTCCTAAACCACATATGTTGAAAGCACGACTGTGGATAAAGCAAATAACAAATTCCAGGACAGACAACAAAACAAGACAGACAGACAAACAAACAAACAAAGAAACATATTTATTATACTGGATCTGTGCTGTGAGTTCAATTTTTTTTTTGTAACATGCAGCTTTCTCTCTCTTTTTCCTGAGTAATTTTATAAAATACTATGGACATAAAATGCAAGGAGACAGAGGAAGGGAAGAATAAAATTATACCCAGGTTTAGAAACATTAGGTTAGGGTTAAAGGTCACTATGTTATAGTCAGTGATTTGGAATCACTGAACTCCACTGGAGTGTGATCAATCACCTCACACAATAAAGTTCATTTTTAAGACCCACAGGATTGCACTATGAAGCACTGTTCATGATTTGAAAGCTTTCATCCACCATTATGGTTTTGAGACTTCTTTAAGCCCTTACACCACATGCCACTTCATTGTGATCGACTGTAGTTGAATGCTGGACTGTCACAGCCTTCCTTTTATTTATCCATTCCCTCTATGACATCCAACATCTCACACTTTACATCTCAAATAAGTTGGAGATGATCAACCTTATATACATCCCAGCCTTGTCTGAGAACTACTGTCTCTGAGCCAGAGAGTGTACGGACTTAGGCAGTAATACACAAATTCTATGAAGGTTCCCTCACATGGCTGTCCAGAGAGCCCTTCTAGTGTCATGGTCTGTAACACCAATTGCTAAATGGTCTTATTAATCAGAAACCTGGAGCCAGATATTGAGGTGAGAAATCAGAGGAATAGACCATAATTCCAGCCACAAATTCTTACCACTAGGAAATCCGCAGCCCAAGAGAGCTACTTCCTGTATACTCTATATCTATATGCCTTTCTGTGGCCTGCCACCTCACTTCCTCTCTCTGCCCAGCTACATCACTTCCTCTTTCCGCCCAGCTCTATCACTTTCTGTCTCTGTCTGTATAGACCTCCAGACCTCTATGGTTAATTAGTGCTGGGATTAAAGGCATGTGCCACCACACCTGGCTCTGTTCCCAGTGTGGCCTTGAACTCACAGAGATCAGATGAATCTCTGTCTCCTGAATGCTAGGATTAAAGGTGTGTGCTACCACTGCCTGACCTCTATATTTAGTATAGTGGCTGGCTTTTTCCTCTGATCTCCAGGCAAGCTTTATTTGTTAGAGAACAAATAAAATATCACCACAGTGGTCCCTAATTATGGCTAAAGCTTCTGTTTTTCTACTTCCTTGCTGTGTCATAATAGTACCTAAAGTTTTATAGTTAAATCACACACACACACACACACACACACACACACACACACACACACACACAGTACTGTCTCACTTTTGTTTTTGCTAAAGGAAAATAAGAAGGTATTCTATGACATGTTAGGATTCCCAGGATTTTCCACTCTATTTTGTTTTCATAATCTACTAATTGAATTTCTAAGCCTTGGATTATTTGCCGTGTGTTGGAGGACACAGAAAGTATTGGATGTTTAAAGGACTATATATAGGTTTTAAGGGAAGGAGTTCTGGCATTTGAAACCTGTTATCAAGGGTTAGGTGGGAACTACTACTATTTTTCATTAACCTGA